CTCATGTTCATCTTGTGGTCAATCATGACCCCCATAAGAATGTTGTTATATCACGTTACAGAAAAATATTACAAAAATGTAGAGGTGTTCACAAGATTAATAATTATTAATGAAAAGTGTCTTTTTTAATAATTTCATCTATCAGTGAAAAATATTTTGTGAGGAAAAGCTTCAACTAGATCTAGTCTTAGCAAATGACATCTCATTAAATGCTGGATTTGGATTCTTTGAAAAGAACTAAAATGTTAGGTTTCAGGATGGCATTCTATACATCCCAACATTATAACATAATTTTGTAGATGACATAAGAGGATGTTTTGGTAAAAAAGTAAAACATTAACCCTATAGATTTGTACCTGTCTGAATAGGAATGGACTGAATACAAGTGTAAAACAATATGGTATCATTCCTTCTAGTCCTAGGCACCACAGACTGGTCTCCTTAGGAATAAGACAAACAAGGTCAAGTCAAAGTAAGATGAGATGTGACAGGTTTTGTGGATTGCATTGACTTTAGCCAGTGGAATTACTGCAGATTTATTTAACTGAAATCAGAATCTGGTCTTTTGCATTTTGCTCCCATGCTGTATGGATATAAATGATTATCCAAGTGTGAGGCAGTATAAAATCAGGATAGAGAACTTCAATGGTGTTAGCCCTAATGGGCCCCACTGTATGTGACAGTAGTTTTAGGCCAGTGGAACTCTTTGTGGGAGTTCGACTTAGTGTAAGGCTTGAAGAATGAGGCTTTAGGTATTTAAAAATAGAGGTATTAATCATTTTGCAGTGTACAGTAGGTGAATCATCTTCAATTGCAAAATCATCTCAGTGTTATAAAGACACCTGCCAGCTACATTTGGAAACTACAGGATGTCATATTTTTAACACTACCATCCTTACTAGGATCATGATTGTTTTGCAGCATCCTCTCTCTGTGTTTTCCCTACTTTTCACTTTGTCACTGGCAATGCCTCTATTCCACAGGACAAAAGATCACATTGAAATGGCCTATAAGGTCGAAAAAAACAACCTGATATATGACAAGGTCTGTATACATTCTTATTATTATTATTATTATTATTATTATTTCTCTGGGACTAAAATGTTTGGTTTATGCTAAATGCCTACCTAAACCACTATTTTTTTTTAAGTGTACAAAGAAAATCTGGTTTGGGTGTTTCTTGAAATACACTACTTTTGGCATCAAAAATAAGACTTTAATAGAGAAAAGAAGCATGTCGTGATTAGCTAATTAACCATACTTCCTCTTAACAGCAAAATGATCTGGTGCTAGTAGCTTGTCAGATTTCATAGTAGCCAAATCATTAATAGAACTATTGGGTCTGGATTCGATGCTTTATCTTCTGGAACCTTTAAATGAACACAGGTTAATCAGGGTGGATACAAACTGATGATTTTTTACAATTATTTTTAAAAATGGATTTTTTAATTTAAATCAGATTTTAAATCAGGTCCAGGCCCAAGTTCAGACACCCATCTATTCTAAATGCTAGTATTCAAAATCTCTGAGTTTTGATTTAGTCCGTCCTCCAGAATGAGATATACTGGACACGTCTACATGTCACCCAATGGCGATGTAGTGATGCAGCATGTCGCTGTACAATCCCTACAGCATGCTATAGCAACATAACAATCACAAAGGTCTACACATGATTGTTAGCTACATCACTGTAGCAGCACACTTCCCCTCCTATAGCACGCTGCTACAGCAACGTAGTGGGGAAATTTAAACGTGCACCACCTGTAAGGCACAGTAACAACATTGCTGTACGCTGGCGTGTAGACATGCCCACTGATGCTGTCAGGAATGTACTGTTTGAAATACACATATGCATAAATAAAGTGACATCCTAGTCCCATTTAAACCAATGAATTTTTTTCCATAAAAGGAGGTAAGATTTCTAATAACTTCACACTTTATTTACTGCCACATTTTAAACCGTCTTACTAAAAATATGATAATAATTAGTGTTTATTGGATGCCCAAAAAAAATAAAATCTTTTTCCAAGATGATATAAAGATGAACTTAAGATGCATGAGGCATATCAAAAAATATGATAATATAAATAGAACACAATTTTTTATCAACCAATAATTTATAAAGTACAACCTTACCCTTGCTGGCAATGATGTTCCAATATGATGTTTAAATAGAAACCCTAAAGGTTTTCTTTTTCTTTTTCCTCTTCAGTCACTCCATCCATTCTCACTTTCTCCCTCCATTTCTTGCAATGATTTAGGTATACCTTCAAAACTTCTCTCCACTGGATAAAACATGCACAAATCACAGCAGGAGGAGTGCAAGTTACCTGACAGAGAAGCTGAAACAGATACAAGCATTTTTTAGCTTGAATGTAACAGGTCATTTAAATGCTCCGACTTCAGAAATAATGAAAACTCCAGGGTGTGGAGTACCTGATGTCAAACAATATAGAGTTATGAACCAGCAGGTTCACTGGCTGAAGAAAGCATTAACATACAGGTAAAGCATTTTGTCATTTTATTATTCTGTGGTTTAATGCTCTAGTTTCAAAATCATTTGAGCTGGCATTCTGTTCCCTTCCTGGTTGTCTAAGGGGCTATTTTTTGGTCAGCTATGCAGTAATTTTGGCACACCCAGAGGAATTATTTTCCTGAATGCAAATGTGTAACTACATACATGTACAGTAGCACAAACATGCATCCTTTATGGACAAGTAGCAGCCTTAAGTGAGGAGACAGTGACTTCTATGTTTCCTTCTCCCCCCCCACCATGACCTACAGTACTCATCTGGGAAGCTACAGAACTGTATTTTGACTCCCCTCACCAAGGAAGGACTTAAACCTATGCCTCTCTGGTTTTCTATTGCAGGACTCTAACCATCACACCACAAGCCAGCCATTATTTAGACTCTTCTCTGGCACTCCTTTTGGAGCTGGACCACTGCAAGAGAGATATAGGCCCAGAGGATGAAAGCAAGTGTGTGTGGCTTAGTGAGTTGCCTGCTTGTCTGGAACAGCTGGGGTTCTAGGTTTTAGCTGGGATCTGTGCTCCCAATGATGTAGAAGCTTCTGGCCTCCATCCATTTTTCCTTCTGGCCTCCATTCATTTTTCCAATGACTATATAAAAAGGCTCTGCTTCCAAAGGAGCACCAAAAAGAGCCTGGTTAATGGCTGTACTGGGTTGCAGTGGTTAGTAGTATGCCATGCTGGGAAGTCAAAGAAACTCTTCTTAAAACCCATTGTGGATGAGGGAGGCCTAGAACCTACATCCTCTGCTTCTCAAGACAATAACCTATTGGCAAATGGCCCTGTTCCTCTCCCTTTTGATTCTCATATATGCCTAGTTTGTGCGCATATGCAGTCACCAATGCCTATGACTCCAAAAACAGAATTGTTTTTGGTGTGTGTAAGTACCAGGAAGTACCATATAGATGACCAAAAATAACTATTTAGAAGATCAGGAAAAAATATGTCACCCTTGCATTCCCAGACTTCTTAATGTACAAGGCTTCACCCAAAGCATTCTTATATTTAGATGATAAAAAGTCATATAGACTGAACAAGGACTAGAGGATGAGTTTGTGGAAAGAACAGATCAAATTAATTTACTATATGCGTCAAAAAGGTACTGCTTTGGAACAATTATATGGGCAAGAAAGGACCTCTGTATTGGATCAGTCAATATGTAGGATATGCACATCCTGGATGGTTCATAGTTCTGTGGATGTGCCTTGCATAATAATACATATCAGAAAAAAGGATAGAGGACATGCAGAACAGGGGAGGGACATCATGAAAGAAATTTGTTGTCTGGAATAATACCAAACCTATAAATAATAATCCACTCCTACATCACCCAGCAAGCTCTGCAGTACAGTTTTGGAGGTGCAGTACAGCTGAGCTACAAGAGTCTTCCAGCTTTTCCCTCGTGCATCTATCTGGCCTCTCTACTTGAAGTTACATGAGGATTTGGCTCAGTGTTACTATACATATGAAATACGTTGAGCAGTGTTGAGATCTTGGGAGAGAAAGTCTCCCTGCTCAGTTTTAGTGCTTAGCAAGCCCTGATGCCGGGAGGATCAACAGGAGAAAAACCTGGCTTAGCTATTGAAGCTCTGGAACATGCTCAATGAGCTTGGTAAGGTAGAGTATCGTCAGTGCAGAGAGAAGATCCTAAAATTTTACCACTGAATTCTAATTTCTACAGAGCTCCCTCAAACTGATTTTTCAGAAGCCAAAAATGGTTGGATTTTGATGGATTTTCATAGGGATGGCAAAAGACACCTGTCTGAAACCATTTTCAAATATGGAGGCACTGGACTTAGTGAAATAATTGTAAGGAATTTTTAACCTTCACAAAACATTACAATTTCCCCCACCCCATCTTTAGAGGGAGCAAAACTATTTTGCTGAAACTTTCTCAAAAATGGCACCCTAAGTCAAATTGTACCTAATTCACCCCCAAAAAATGTATTTTATCTCATAATTTCCTAACCAAATCTGTTAGGATGTTCCTAAGTTCCTTGTCTTACTTTTCACAGTATAGCAACATATACCTCACAACTGCCATCAGCCACAGTGAATCACCTTATTTCTTCAGCTTTAAAAGTTTGGAGTGATGTTAGTCCATTAACATTTATCCCATCCAGCACTGGAAAGGCTGATATAATGATCAGATTTGCAAGAAGAGGTAACTTGAAGTGTTTGGGGGGGGTTGTTTGTTTGTTTGTTTTGTTGTGATGGGCATGAAAGGATCTGCATTTCTTTTTCAAACTGACTTGTGATGATCCAACTTTGTAAATCACTAAAGCATGTATTTAACTTTAAGTCAATGGGTCCTATGGTGCTTCAGAATCTGCTGGCTTGAGGGCTTAATCAGTACTTGACTTCCAAGGAAAAAAAAATGTGTCTGGATGTATCTTTTTAGCGCATGGAGACTCTCAGCCATTTGATGGCCCAGGAGGCACTGTGGCTCATGCATTTGGACCTGGAGTAGGAATTGGAGGTGATGCTCATTTTGATGGAGATGAAAAGTGGTCAGCAGAACATAATGGTGGGTAGTTTCACAAACATCAAAAATTAGATGAACCTCAACATGTGTTAAACAGCAGGGGTGTGCAAAACAGGCCCTATTCAATTCGGATTCACATTCAGCCCGAATCAGGGACAGTGATTCAATTAATTGATTCAGATCACTGTCCCTGATTCAATTTGGCTGAATCCAAATCTGAAGATTCAATGCTGGTTCAGAGAATCCGCAATTCAGACATAGACACCACTTTAAATGTTTTTTCTACATATCTCAAGGTACCAGCATACCTCATGAACACTGAGATGCTGGGGCACATGGAGCATCCCACGGGAGCACGGGGGGCCCCCCCAAGTGCTTAGCAGCAAACCCAGAAGTGGACCAGAAGTACTTTCGGTACACAATCAGCCGCAGGGGGACCACAGGTGCCCCTCCAGACCCAGGACGAACTAGTCACCGAGCCGGGGAGGCATGGGGGGGCCCCAAGTGTGTTCCCCGGTGGACCCAGAAGTGGACCAGAAGTGCTTCTGATCCACTTCTGGGTCTGCTGCCAAGTGTGCTGGGGAACCCCGCGCTTCTGTGGGACACTCCAGCTACCTGCTAGCTAGAGGTATGTAGAAAAAACATTTAAAGCTGTGTCTATGTCTGAATCGCTGAATCTTTCCGAATCTCTCTGAATCCATTCAGAGGGTTCCGATTCGATTTGAAGAGATTAAAGGGTTGTCTGATTTGATTCAGATTTATAGATTTGACCACCGAATCAGGCCAAATCTCCACCGAATTGAATCAGGGATCAAATCTTCACATAGCCCTAATAAGCAGCACATAGCACCACTAAGGACACATGAACACACTTTGACCAAAGGAGAAAAATTCAATTCTATTCATTGCTAGCCAATCAAAAAATCCTTTCTATGAAATTATGTTTCTCCTACTTGTAGAAATGTCCCAGATTATTGAAACTGCAGGTCCTATTTGTCATTTTAAGTGTATATTTTTTTTTTTACAGGTATTAACTTGTACCTTGTTGCTGCTCATGAGTTTGGCCACTCATTAGGGCTCCCCCATTCAAGAAATCCAGCTTCACTGATGTATCCAACATACCAAAAACGCAGGCTACAGGGATCTCCTCTCTCCTTTGAGGATGTACATAGGATTCAAACACTGTATGGTATGGATATATATATTAGGCTCCATATGTCATGCATTCAGATAATGTTGCATTGCCAATATCTGCTGTTTTTAGCACGTTTCATAAATAGAAAAAATAATACAGATATTATATACAATTATTAATGCAATATAATAATACAATATAAAATAATGCAATTATTATAATACAAATAAAAACTTCTTTAAAAGTAATCCAAAGCTATTTTTTGTAACTTCTGCTACTGCATTTGCAAAGCAAAAATTATTTAGAGTTTGAGATAACACTATGAAATGCCAATCCAGCAAATTATTTTTGATGTGCATCTCTGTTCCACTACATATCTACAGTTCAAAGGGTACTTTCTGATGGATTGATTGTGTTCATAAACACAAACACATGTGATTAACTTTAAGCTTGAGCCAAGCCCCCCTTAAGTTAAGCATGGCCATAAGATTTTGAAAACGTGGATCTTTCTTTAGAAATGAATGGCAAAATTCCCATTAACTTTCACTCATTTTGGAGTTACTAGAAAGAATCAAACTAGAAACTCAGCTGGTCAGTGTAGCTCCATTGACTCTACAATTTACACCAGCCAGCAATCTGACAACCTTGTGCATACAGTATGGGATATGTGGGGCCACAAATTTATTTCTCTGTTTTATTTTGATTTAGGACCAAAGTCCAGCTCTGGAAGAACATACCATTCATACATTTACCAGTACTTGCATTATTTTTTCCCAAAACAACTATCAGTTGATGACAAATGTGATGTGAGCCTAACCTTTGATGCTGCTACTAGTTTCGGAGAAAACATTATTTTCTTCAAAAACAGGTTCAGTAAATATTTTCTTATTTTCATTTAAAAGCAGTGGCTTGGTAATTACCAAAAAATGGGGCTTTCTAACTGATTAGCAATGGCTCAGAAAGGCCATTAATGCACAGAAAACTTTTTTTTATTTTGGATGAAAGCTTGAACCTGTTACAGGGGATATGTTAGGGCTCAAACACAAGTAAAAATGCAGCATTTTTACTATAATGGTAGCAAAAGAAATGGAGAGACTACAGAGAACACTGCTGTAGAATATAGTTACAAAGATGTGTTTATAAAAATAGTTCCTAATCTTTTTCTGCAGCAAACCCATTTTCAATTGACTTGTGACCCCACTCCCAGTCTACACCTAAAGGTATAACTGAGTCTATAGGACTTACAACGCCCTAGATAAGTATTACTACCCAGTGTAAGGTTGTGAGGCTCCATTTGGGAACCACTAGTTTATAAAATTATTCCTATTGAAATGGGGATAGTTCAATGCAGATAACTTGTTTGAAAATATTGATAATTGTACTGAAATTGCTTTTTTAACTTTCAAGAAAAATGTGGATTAAGGATTTATCAACATCAGAAGTGAAAGAAGGATTTATCAAAAATTTCTTATCACAAATTAAAGCAAATATCTCTGCTGCTTATGAAGTGTCTTCGAAGAAAACTATGTACATTTTCCAAGGTACTTTATTTTATACTCCACTACAAACTCACTTAAAATTCCATGATGACATATATTCTTATCATTTGAAGAGTTCAGTATTACAACAACTCAAAATACAACTTGATACTTTTGACTTACTGGAGATAACTGTGTTTCAAAAGAATAAAGTCTAGAACAGCTCAGGATGTGATGCCTATCTAATAGTGAAAATTAGGGCTGTGCAAAATGGCACCATTCTGTTTCGACTTGAGTTTTGAGGCTTTGATAGAACAGCATTTCATTTAAAATTTTATTTCAATTTGAAACCGCTGTTCAATTTTGTTTCATCGAAACAGTGATGCTGTTTCGACGTTTCACCCATACACTATAATGGGGAAGCTCGAAACAGCCTCTCTCATCCAGCAAGCAGATGGGGGCCCACAACCCCAGGAGGGCTGCTGGTGCTGTGCCAACCCTCCCAGGGTTGCGGCCCTGATCTGCCTGCCAAACGAGGGAGGGAAGTGGGTGCTACTGCCTGGGGCTGGGGAGCTGGGGAAGGGAACTGAACCCGATTGCTCAGCACTATGATTGATCAGGCTGGGGAAAGGAACTCAGCCCAGCTGAGCCAAAGTTATGTTCCTGGATGAGCCACATGGGACTGCAGAGTCACTGGGAGTACAGCCCTGGTTCTCCCCCGTCTCCCACCACTTGGCTGCCAACTCCTTTGAAACTCAAAACATTTTCAAACTCCTGAAACATTTCAACTAGCCTCGTTTTGTTTCAAGGCTGTTTTGAAGCCCTTCATTTCAATTCGATTTCACTGTTTCAAGCTCGAAATAAGTCAAAAAAGCGTCAAATTGAAACAGCCGGCAAAAATTTTGCACATATACAGTAAGATTCTGTGTAGAATGGGCTAGTGTTATCTCCCATTAAGTGTTATAAGAAGATATACTTTTCATTTTTTAAAGAAAAGTTTACATAATGCAGAATCACTTATAAAGGTATTTATTCTGTTTCCTTAAGGTCATGATCATAAACCTATTACTATCAATGGAACAACTTCCATTAATCTCAATAGACCATGAAGCCCTGTGCAAAGACCAGGACTCAAGGGGAGGAAACTGCACTTGGGGACCCCATTGCACTTGGGGACCAGCTGGAGATTGTCCCCACCCCAGTCATTACACTGGCAGGAGAGACTCCACCAGCACAAATGACTCAGAGATTTCCCTGCTATTGAGGAAGTCCCTGTCATGTGAGGATCTAACCCATTTAAAGTGAAGTTCTTAGTATACTTAGAGAAAAGATAAATCATGGATAGTATTAAGTGATGCAGTGATCTTCCCATTGCCTGCCTAATACAAACTCTGTTTACGTAGGATCCAGGTTTTGGACAATTAGAAACCTAAAGATGAAAAGAAATCCCTCTACAATTTACGCATTAGGGCTTCCACATAACATCAGTCATATTGATGCTGCATTACATGTTAAAGAAACAGGAAAAACCCTACTCTTTTTTGAAGAAAACTGTTGGAGGTAAGAGAAGAAACAAACTTCATGTTTTACTTCTAAATGGCCAAAAGTTCTCTTCTTCTCTCTTCTTGAAAGCAAAGGTGATTCAGATCTGGAAGATCAGGATAAGAAAATGCTAGTTCTATGGCATTCACTTTCATCTTGAATCTTTCCTGCAGAGACAAGGCTCTACCATAAGCCAGTGGAGGTACATAAACTACAGTAAAGTCCTGGTTAATCAGGCGCACTCTTACACTGTGCTTTCCCAGGTTCTTGAGATATACATCTGACAAATTTCACCCTGTAAGCAATGTTTTGCAGTCTCCCTTTAACTGTTCCAGAGATTTATTGGAGGCAACATCCACTGTTGGTATTATGGATCCTGTTCTGATCTCTGCTCCACTGTACAACAGTGCAAGTGAAAACAAACTGGTCCATTGACTTCAATATGTGTTCTACTTGCTTACATTACAGCTGGATTTGGTTCCCATAGAATACCATGTCAATATATATTATGCTTATTTTGCAAAGCCACTGAATGCCAGATTGCTACAAGTGGAACTGTTTTCCCTTGCACATTCAGTATCTGACCAAGTCACACTTGATCATCAGCTCTGCCATCAACAAGTCAATGATAGAGGCAGAAATAGAACCTAAAATTACTAACCTCTGGTCCCATGGTTAACTACTAGATGCTCCCTGTGGTACTGCACTTCTGGTCCACCCTAGGTTCCTAATTTGCATACATTTACCAACCAGTAAGTATCTAACTGGTAATCAGAGATGCACAGCATTCAGAGAAAACAAGCATACCTGCTCTTTTCTGTCATGGAACATGATCACTAGTGATGTCATGTCACAAAGGGTCTGAAACTTTATCAGTTAAAATATATATATTGAAATAGATAAATTATATGGATCTTGAAATATAAAGGTGCTTAAAACAGATTGAAGAAAATTCATCCCTAATTTAACTCCAATGAAGTCATAGTTTCATAGTTGGTAGGGTCGGAAGGGACCTAAGCAGATCATCAAGTCCGACCCCCTGCCACAGGCAGGAAAG